TGGGATGTTTTCAGCTTCCAGGAATTGTGTACAGATCCTTGCAACATGGGGCCGTGCATTATCATGCTGCAACATGAGGTGATGGTCGTGGATGAATGGCACAACAATGGGCCTCAGGATCTCGTCACGGTATCTCTGTGCATTCAAAATGCCATCAATAAAATGCACCTGTGTTCCTTGTCCATAACATACACCTGCCCATACCATAACCCCACCGCCACCATGGGCCACTCGATCCACAACGTTGACATCAGCAAACCGCTAACCCACACGACGCGACACACGCTGTCTGCAATCTGCCCTGAACAGTGAAAACCGGGATTCATCTGTGAAAAGAACACCTCGCCAACGTGCCAGAAGCCATAGAATGTGAGCATTTGCCCACTCAAGTCGGTTACGATGACAAACTGCAGTCAGGTCGAGACCCCGATGAGGATGACGAGCATGCAGATGAGCTTCCCTGAGATGGTTTCTGATGGTTTGTGCAGAAATTCTTTGGTTATACAAACCGATTGTTGCAGCAGCTGTCCGGGTGGCTGGTCTCAGACGATCTTGGAGGTGAACATGCTGGATGTGGAGGTCCTGGGCTGGTGTGGTTACACGTGGTCTGCGGTTGTGAGGCCGGTAGGATGTACTGCCAAATTGTCTGAAACGCCTTTGGAGACGGCTTATGGTAGAGAAATGAATTGATCAGTTCAATTGATGGGCAACAGCTCTGGTGGACATTCCTGCAGTCAGCATGCCAATTGCACGCTCCCTCAAAACTTGCGACATCTGTGGCATTGTGCTGTGTGATAAAACTGCACATTTCAGAGTGGCCTTTTATTGTGGCCAGCCTAAGGCACACCTGTGCAATAATCATGCTGTCTAATCAGCATCTTGATATGCCCCACCTGTGAGGTGGGATGGATTATCTCNTTGAGGGAAATGGTCTTTTGTGTGTATAGGAAATGTTTTAGATCTTTGAATTCAGCTCATGAAAAATGGGAGCAAAAACAAAAGTGTTGCGTTTATATTTTTGTTCAGTGTATGTATAAATATGCAGTTAATATAAATAAACACTATTTTTGGTTTAAAACACAACATGGGGACGGGATGGCACAGCAGTTATTATTGTGGAGTTGGGATGGAACAAGATTTTTCTTTTTACCCTGTCATGGGATTGGAATGGGGCAGGAGTGAAAATCCTCCCCCCATGGATTTACTCACTGTACAATGTGGTAATTAATTAGTGTTAATCATAGGCTGTACAAAATTATGGATGTAGCTATACCATGATGTCACCCATTGGTTTGTGGGCTGCCATTTTGGGGTCTCATGTTTGACATTTTGGCTGTTGTCTTCTTGGCTTTTTGGGGCCAGAAGTGACCATATTTGTACAAAAGGGGGGAGCTGTAGAGGAGCGAGGCGGGGGGTGGATTAGAATAGATTAGGTGTTCCTTGTTGTCCTCATGGGAAACTCATTCTGCTCAGGTCAGCAAAACACAAAAGACACCCCAAGACCCCCAGAGTGCAGCTGCCTCACACACAGCCTGTCATTCAAGTGGCCCCGCCCTTAAATATATTTAAATTTAAACATTAATGAAACGTAAACAGTTGAGGTATATAAAAATTAATCCCACGTACAGCTGTCATGAATGTTGAAGTTAGCTATAGACATTTGATTTTTGTACCAGACTGTAAACATGTTTATTTCTGCTTTAAAGTTGGGCATGTTAACATGTGGGTCTTTAGGGATTGACTCGCTTTTTGAGCCAGCCTCAAGTGGACATTAGAGGAACTGGAGTTTTGGCACTTTCGTACTGGCATCATTTTTCAGCCTTGAAGGTAACAGCTTGGTGCTAATTAGCAGATGTGTACATGGTTACATGGTAAACTAAGATCGTTAATGTGATGAGTGCAGCCTTGCACAGCTGCCAGCATGGCTGTTTATAGAGATGTTTTCCCCAAAACAGTGGGCACTATAGTTTTTAGTAAACATACTAAAGTGAAGTCAATGGTGTATTTGATAAGGACTACTTTCAGCCTTGGACAAATCCACATTTTGTCATTGTAATAAAGAAACATGTCATCCATGTGACATATTTCTTTATTAAATGCCAACCATGTGGCTCATTGATGTTTTTTTTCTTTGTTCTTGGACAACAGTGTAGTGCTAATAGGGATCATTTTGCTGGCTGTTGTAGTTTTCTCATATGGTTTGTTTACAGTGGTAGAAAAACAAACAAACAAAATATCACTAACCTTTAAATGTGCTATGGTATTAAATGTTTATAACATACAGGTAACGTTAGAGATAATTTATTGTAACTACATGCAGCCCAGCTTGCATTCTGAGTGAAGAATAAGATATTTCATTCTATATTGCCCCTTTATTTTACTGATTATATAATTCTCACTCCTTTTCCTCTCATCCTCACAGATAACAGCTTTTGATGAGCTTCAGGCTGACTTCAAGGTTCCAATCGATCAGGGCAATCCACTCCATGCGGTAGGTTTGCGCTCCCGACTCATTTTTACTCATCACAAACACTTTCATTCTATTATTAACTTATTGTTCATGTGAATGGCAGTTGTTGGCACAAATGGAAAAGATTTAAGTCAATTTGCTAAGTGACATATTAGATTTTCTGTCTCCTCGTCTTTCTTGTTCCTCCAATCATTTTGAATCAAGAAGATAGTAACATACTAGTTTTGTACACCCATGCTCTCCTCCCCTCCCAGCTCAAAAGCAGACCCCTTAAACAGGACTTCAGGCCAAAGCATCATATGTAAATGATCATGGTTTAGGGACAATTCTTGAATTCAAATAAAGTTAATAAAAAAAAAAAAGCCATGAGCCACAAACAAAGATAAACATGCAATCGACAGTTGGTTACCAGTCCCCCAGTCAGGGATGCTCACCAACAGTCCCCTGCATAGACATTTTTTGGGGGGCAGGTGCTCAAGCAAAAAAAAGGGCAACTCTCTTATAATTATTAATTTAAAAAATAAAGTTACATACAGTCAAACATTTTGCTTACTTACATATTTATCGTACTACCCATACAGTGATGCAGACAAGGGTGTCATTTTGTTTAAACATTACAGAGGACACATATGAAGTGGGGGGAGTCTGGGGAAATGTTGAGCCTTAAACACTTAATTTCCTATATTCTGCTGAATTATTCTGCATCAATTTATGTTGGAAATGTATTTATTTATGTGAAGGGAAATACAATTCAAGTGACAGGTGACAAATACAAAAAAACAGAATGGAATATAATGCAGTAACACTCAGGCATTCTGTACTGCTTTCAGATATTTATTTTCCTGTCTTATTTCATGTTGTCTTCTGAGTAAACACTGGTGTTTTATTGTGTATAAATGAGGTATTATGTTCTGCAGTGAGGTTTAAAGGGATAGTTCAACATTTTGTCAAATTCGCCTATTACCGTAATCCCTATAGTTACACGAGTAGGTACATTACCTTCAATTGTCAGTGCGTGCTGTTCTGAGATCGGTGGCACAGAGCTGCCCGCTGTGGAAATGGAGGTAAACGGTACAGGTCCCTCTCTCCCTCAAAACGAATCAAATATACCATCAAATGACTCCAAAACACTCTAGTGGACAACACATGGCTTGCGCATTCCCCACGCTATGAAATAATAATAATGTATAATTAAGTAACATTACAACACATGAAGCAAATACTTGGAACTACTTTCTTGAGTAAACCACTGGGTGGAGTGACACAGTGCGCAGCTGATACAGTGCCATAGTTATTGCTTGTAGCCATTTGCGGTATCGTCAGCTGGACACACCAGAAGGTTTGAGGAAAGTTTACAAGTGTTTTTGTAAATCATGGTTTACACATGTATTGTAAAAGGTTGCAGTAACAAGCCAAAGACGTGGAGCAAAGTGAAGTTTCACATAGTTCCAACCAGTAATACGGACAGGATGAAACAATGGCTATTTGTGCTGGACATCGACCCCAACACGCCTATGGAAATGGTCCGGAAAATGTTTGTGTGCTCCTGCCATTTTTTACCGGAGGACTACAGTGAAAGGATGGAGCGCAGAAGCTCAGGAATGGTTCAAGCGCTTTTCTTCAAAGATACTGTCATACCATCTGTCGGCATCACAAAACGAGCAGACGTGGTAAGTGATCGTTGTGTATTTTGCTCAGCTAAATATGTTGTTGTGGTTATGTTATGGATAAGTGCTTGCCCAGAGCATATAGTGAAGTGACTGGCATTACTTCTCATTGTCGGGAATAAACAGACTGCTAGGGAACATTTTATGTTGTTGTTCCCTCAGGAGTTGTGGTGATTTATGAGTGTGGAGTTAGCATGTTCTCCCCGTGTTCCGGTGATTATTTGGAGGCGTAAGTTACTCTATATTTATATTGCACAGGTGTACCTAATAAAGTGGCCAGTAAGCCCCAAATTTACACCACCGGCTCTGGGTCTCCCCTCAGCCCCTGGTTGCTCGGCAGCCTCAACCTCTCTTCTTGCTCTATCTTCTTCCAAAAACTGTAACTCTTCCTCTGTATATTCTGGCTTCTTCTCAACACACTTGTTGTTTTGATGACGGGAGTAACTGCACTAAACATACGCTGTTTGAAATCACTCCGCCCAGCAAGTACTGTATGTCTGGAATGTAGTTCCGGCTCTGCATTTGGCTTCAAAACAAGTCTGTCTCATAATATTACATTATTATTTCATAGCGTGGTGAATGTGTAAGATACAAGTTGTCCACAAGAGCGTCTTGGAGTCATTTGATGGTGTATTTGATTAGTTTTGAGGGAGAGAGGGACCTGTACCGTTCACCTCCATTTCAGCAGGCAGCTCTGCCCCACCGATCTCAGAACAGTCCGCACTGACAATTAAAGGTAATGTACCTACTCATATGACTATAGGGATTACGGCGATAGGCGAATTTGCCAAAATGTCGAACTATCCATTTAAATGGTTCTTGATGTACAGAGTAGAGGCTGCTCTGACACACAGACACACCGAGGATGATTTCTACCTCAAAGCTCTTCAAAATGAAGTTAACAGCATGCTGAATCTCTTTATTGAGGTAGTTTGGTTCATTTACATCAAATTCAGCTTTTTACAAACATGGTTCTTTTCTTCAGGCCTTAAATGCAAGGCTTATTTTGTATTTTCTCTTGTTGTTACTTTCCAATCAGAACCCTTTTATTTAACCTATGATCCAGCTAAATTTTTTACTTCCTCTTGGTTCAGAAATAAAATTAAATTCACGTTTTTATAAATTCATCACCTAAGAAGTTGTGAACAATAAAGTTTGTGTCTATGAGAAAGCCACTGTTATTTCATTAAATAGTCATGTACTAATGCTTAGAATTATCCTCTAAATAGGCGTTAAATATTCATAAAGAATCCCAGAGAAGATACGCCTCCAGCACAAGGCATGTGCAGCAACAAATCGTATTTGAGATGTATTTAAATAAATAATCAGAGCCAGAGCCTGGGAGATCTCCGCTCGCATCGGGCAGTTGGTGAAGAGAGAGAGTTGGAGGGAGACGGTGTGATTTTACAGCAGACTAGCTTACTTGTTGTTAAGCTTAATGATGGGTTATTGCCTACGTTAAGATAGCTGTATTAAGATGTAGTTTATTCTCACAACAGTAACAAACAATGCAGAGGCTGATGGTAAACACTATCATTACCTGGCTGTCCATGAAGGCAGGTCACAGGGAGACATGATGCTAATCTGTAGGACACTCAATCGACGTGTGCTAACTGTGGTGGCTATGACAAGGGAAGTTGATCATGGAGGGGCAGGGGTTCTTGCAGTCTGGCAGAATTAAAACTCAAATGTGGCTGTCAGGTGTTACAACACTCATTTAATGGAGAATTGATGCCATGCGCCAAATTGAAAAACTAAAATATTAACATAGAAATATCTTGCAAAAAAGGGCACTTAGACAGAGGGCAAAATGGCATGTTTTGAGCACCACCTGGGGTCCATTTGTGCACATGCCTGCTCACCAACAACTTTATCAAGAACCAAATGTTAAGATTCAACCTAAAATCTTTTAAGGGAACTGTGGGTTCAGTCAGTTTCCCAGTTAGCCTACAAAAAGGTGTCATTGTTAGACTTTACTATGGATGTAGCAGACTCAGAATTATGTTAGTCAAATTAGATTTGGCTGTTAAATACAAATATTTAACAATACTTTTTTTCAAATGAAAGTTTATACAGACTCAGCAGGGCGTTTAGTGTGACAGCGACATTGATGTAAAACAGTAAACAAGCTAACTGTTCTGACAACAAATTGTAAGTGTGTGACAGCATTTTCTGCTGACACCAGATATCAAACAAAAGCCAGAGACTGTGTCGTATAAAGTATCTGTGAACTGCAAATTCACCAATTCTAAGTAGAAGAGAGAAATTGATGTTATCATTTTTTTTTATTTTGTACCAGAGTAGTGAAAGTCAAGAGCAAAGTCACTCTGCAGCAAAGTCTGGGGACCAGAATGTCCCCAGAAGTACACTGCACAGCACACTGACTAAAAAAAACAAAAAAAAATTGACTGCTTGAATTGAAGCAATCTCAGTCGACTTGGAGTCTCCAACTGGCAATTTGAATGTCTGACTTTCAAAGGGCAGCCATAGACTTTACTGTGTTGTTGTTGCATTGTCCGCCCTATGCTGGAGCTGCTCTAAGGCTCCCATGCACTTTGTGATAGTATTTTGCAGGTTTACACCAGGGATGGCCGATATATTGATTATACTTGATGTATCGCGACTTTGACTTTTCCCACATTGAATGTAAAAAGCTCATTGTATAGAGAAAGAGAAATGGAGGTAGAGAGGCTTAGGGATGGTACAGTAGGCTGAGGCAGAAGGCAGAGGGTGTTGGGTAATGGCTGGGGAGAGTAAGGCAATGCATAGAGGAAGTAGTGTGGTAGGTGAGTGACAGAGGGAATTGCAGAGTGAGAGCAGGCGGGCAGTTGAAGAGGCAGACTGTTGAGATTGATCCTTGACCAGAGCAGAACAGGACTAGGAAGAAAAAAAAACACTCAAGGAAATTATGCACAATGTGGGGTAAGATATACTGGAGCTTATTGAACTTGATGAGAGGCAAGTTTAAATGATTAATGGTAATCAGAAGCCAGGAGAGAGCAGAGGAGCACCACGCCCACAGACATTAGCCACGTTTAGTTGTTCAACACGCCCTTGTTGACCCCCCCAAGGGCAATCCCCGCTGCCATCATAAGTGTTGTTCCATTTGTCTGAAAAACTGAAGTGACCTTGGTGAGAACAACCCTTGGAGGGCTGAGGGGACGAGTGAACAATGGGCACTCCAGAGCATTGTATTATCCACAATGCAGTTATGCAGTGGGAAATACATCCATATTTATCTGGCAGTAATGTAATTAAAACTTTGGTTGCTCCACTGAAGAAAGAGAGGATGAATAAATAAAACAAAAATATACCCATAAGTGGCGATTCCAGGGATCAAGCTTGCATGGACTC